CACTCCTGTGGATTCAGATGTTTCAGTATTAAAACATAGCTGTATGGATTCCACCTAATGTGAGGTTACTGTGCTGTCTGCTTCTTATTTTTTTTAAAGTTAATTCAATCAATGGATTACTAACAGCGGATTCTAAAGTATTGTTCCTAAGTTATTGAGAAATTAATATTATTTTATGTGAAGATGGAGTGTCTTGGTGTTAATTTTAATGCCTGTCTGTATTATTCAACACTTCTGACTCCTGTAATTTTACTCTTTATACTTCTACCTGCCTCACTAACACAGATCGCCTGTCAGATCAACCAGATCCATAAAAACTACTCTTCCACTAACTGTTCACATTTCATAAATATTGAGTGTTTGAATGACTTCACAAGTCAAAAACAAAACCACAGCCTTTAATGTTTGTGGCTCCAGCTATATTGGAACTTTGTATCAGCCAAAATGTATTTAATTTCTTACATGTTGATTTTAATGGGAAGTGTTTTATTCTGATCTGTAATTCCACTCTTTTACCACTTGAGTGTACAATTGGAGTTGTATCTACTWAGTCTCATGTGTGGCTTCACCTATAGACATTTTCTAAATTTCAATAATTTTTCAGAACAGATTTTCTCCAGGGCGGTGTGACCGTGTAACAGCTGTGTAGTTTGCATGGCACTCGGAAATGTGAMTTTTTTCTTTAAATGTCTGAACTCACAATGCCAACAATGGTGTTGGCTGGTAGTGAGGTCAAACTGAACAATTTTAAATAATCCTTCCCTTTTCTTGGAAGTAGACTCAACCCATTCCACCACATTCTACTACAGAAAAGACCCCAGCTGAATCCACAAACTTTATTATAAAAAAAGTAAATAACACAAGAAATTGCAGTCAAATCAGTTTGCTTTACAGAAAACTACACTAGATAGAGTTTCATAATAAAATGCATGTGATGATWCAATTGTTTAGTGTCAATACAACCATTTTTCCATACACATTTTTTTCATTCATGTTATATGTGATCAGATAAGATGCTTTATTGTTTTATAATAACAACTTAATTATATCAAATCTCTAGCTGTTTGTGTTATCCTGACAGTTAAAGTTTTGCGATGCACATTTGAATTTTTTCAGTAATTCTCCTTTATTTTGTTTTGAAATCTTCAAATAGCTACTACACTGTATTTTTTCTGCGCAGTAAATAATGTTTTTAAGCATGGAAGTGAGTTATAGTAATTCTAACAATTTAAATCTATCATGTCAGGCAAGGTTCACAATATTTGATGAATTACAGATTTTGTAAATGCAGACTTTTTGAGTTACGTTTTCATATAGAGAGCATCAAATATTGAAATACTTGTGTGAAGTGCTGGGAATAACGGATGAAGACAGGACATTCTGTGCACTGTGTTGTATGTGTGTATGAAGTGTGGACAGACAGATGGTTGTATGTTGTCGTGAGTGTCTCACATATCAATGCTCTAAATTCAGAACACACTAAAGAATTTTTGTCAAGAAATAACAGTTTAAGCAAATTGTTTTAAAAACAGCATCATTTCCATCACTCTGTCAAGTAGATTCAAAGCTGCTGATCAGTATAAGTCAAAGCTCTGTCAGAGTACTTGTTGCTGAGCAAATTTGAAATTTGAATTCACCAATTACCTTTTACCCATTAATTTAGTTACTTCAGATTTAACAATATACATGTCGTTTAAATCATCTTTATTTCATTTCTTCGCCTCACGGGTATTACAATCTGTTTTTTATTATAACTATTATGAATTATTATTATGAATTAT